TTTGATAATCAATTAATTATAAATTGTTTGACAGGTGAAGTATTAATTTGCTTTAGTGGAAGAAAACTGAGTAAATTTAAACTTGGTGGTAACATTTGTATAAAGAAGAAGCATTTAAGTGACTGTATTCAGATCAATTATGTTCACATATTTTAAATAAGTCTGGAGAAATGCTGCATATGAGAGTAACTTCAATTAACTTAATTTACAGAAATTATCTTAACAATAAAAAACTCAAATATCTTTTTTTTTTTAAATGGTTTGAGTTTAATCAGGTTTGTGATTATATTCTTTACTTTTCACTTTGTTGAAAATCACTTTTAATTGTCACTGAGGTCAAATTACAACCCGGTTTAGACTCAACCTGCATCAGGCGTTGTCCAGACCCAGCTACCTCCCTCACAGGCCTTTTTAATACTCTCTCATATATATGTGTAATACGGTTAATACTGATCCCAACCCACTGACTGCACTGTTTGGCGTAGCCCCGCAGGAAACGCCACTACCAGCAACCGTGTGGGTGCCATCACCTGAGCGTCATCTCAACACTTGTGAGTATGTGTCTCCAAGTGGAGATCAATCCACAGCTCGCAGTCAGGCGGGTTCGGGACGACTCGTTAGAAAACATTGTGCGTTCAGGCGGGCGGTTCAAGTGACAAAGCAGCGTTCTGAGTAAGTTATTAATAATTTAACTAATCATTTCTTCCCCTCTCTCTGGTAAAACACACACAAAAGAGCGGCGCTGTGCAGCATCCAGCAGCTGCTCGCTGTGAAGGATTCACTGTCTGTGTGCACGGTGCATGAGAGAGAGAGTTTAATGAAGGGTTGCTTGTTTTACTGACATTTAACAGTACAACAGGATTGCGTATGAGCTGAAACCTGCATGTAGATGATTTTTAGGGGTCACATTTCCCTCATATTGGGAGCATGAAGTCATGTTTACTTCCGTTAAACTGCCTTTCAAATGACTTTTTAATTTCAAATTACGCAACAGAAGAGCTCGCAGCGCTGCGGACTCATGCGCCGGTCTCGCAAACCAAGATGCTGATTAATGCCGGCGCTGATTTGATGAGAAAGCTCAGTTCAGTTAGCAGAGGAGCATCTGAAGTGGAGAGGCTGAGAGGGTGTGTGTGTGTGAGTGTGTGTGGGTGAGTTTCAATAGTAAGCAGGTCGGACGAGGGATTTAGGTTTGTTTGCTAATGTGCAGTTCGTCCAGTTCATTTAAATCCGTATGAATTCATGTTTTGCACCTTCTGCTCAATCAGGGAGGGGAATGAAATCACAGTGAGATGGTTGATGAAACGGAGGGAATTTGTGAAAAAGTTCAGTCTCAGGAGGGAACTTTTTTAAACCGCCGTGCTACAGTTTTATGTAGACCAGCTTCAACTCGTTGGAGTCAGAGTGAAACCGTCTGAAGATGTCAGGGTGGAAAAATCAAAGTCAACCTGTAACTTAAAGCTCAGACTTCTGTCATACCCTTCCTCTAATTTATGTTTTTATTTCTTTAAATTCTGCTTTGACCCCTCACAGATTATTTAATTCTGTTACAATCTGCTAATATAAAGTTTTTAATTGAAGTATTTTATCAAATAACAAACCCTTACTGGTTTCAGATGCATTTGCTTTTCTTTACAGGGCTCGTTCCCAGGTTGCTTTTATTCACCCAGATACCTGCCATCAAGATTTCTGCCCCCGTCTGAACACACAACACAGCACACTGATCACATGCACACTCATTTCCAGAATATTCCCCATTTGATGAAGATTCATATAAACAGCATGTTCATAATTTAGTCTTATTCCAAATGGAGCATTTTCTGATTGATAAAGGTAGAATATGCTGATATTATTCAGGTTTTAGGAGCATTCTTTGTACCCACATTTCTGGTCTAAAGGAGAAACACACCCACTGCTTAGGTTTTTTTTTTAGACGGGGAATTATCGACGGGCCTTTCATTCTCCATGAGAGGCGAGCGGGCAGCTAGGGAGGCACGGACCATCTGAGAAACTGTCGTCGTTGTGCTCGTCTCGAACCTTTTCCCACACGACGCACAGTAACTACTGACAACTACAGTGGAGGAGAGATGCATCAGCTTACTTACAGTTATGACTAATGATCCTGATTTAGCTATGTACAATAAACTGGTTATTCTGGTTCAGGTTGGCAGCAGAGACTGCCAGTAGTACACAGAAGCAAGCGTGAAGTCACCAGTCATCGGTTTGTGGAGTCCCGTTTTGAAGCCTTGAGTTTGCCGTTGCGGTCATTGCCATGGCGGTTTGTCAGACCCAGCGTAGGTGACTTACTGCGAGGACGGACTCACTGAGAGCGGACTGTCAATCACATGGTCAACGCGCTCTAAAGCAAAGGGACTAAGTGCATATTGTCATCGATGTCTCGATGTGTTTAGTTTTTAAAAACCCTCAGAAAAATGGAAATTTGAACATCTGCAATTCATTGAGCGTCTGCTGAGGAAGATCATGTGAAATAATGGAAAGCTTTAGAACAGCTGTCAGTTATAAATGTTGTATGTAAAACACTATTATATCTCAGAGTTGTGACTGAAAGGTTGTGGCTGCTGGAAAACACTGCAGGGAGCAAATTTACATGTTCTATATATGTGTTAAGTGATTATCAGTGAAGCCAAACATCCCTAACCCACCCAGTCACATCATACCTAGGAAAGGAAACATCATTATACACAGTGAGAAAAACAGAGAGAAAGGAGAGGAAGCAGTCCTGTCGCAGTCCTAAATGACCAAGTATTTCATATAGTACTGTATGTATACACACATGCTGCCTGTGATGTCTCAGCAAAGCAATGTGCATAATGTAAATTTAACATTTTACACAATTAATTCAGAATAAATTGATATTTTAAAAGGTCCAGTGTGTAGGAGTCAGTGGCATCGAGCAGTGTTGTTGCAAATTGAAACTTCCTCGCTTCACCCTCTTCTTCAAAGCGTGAAGCAGAAACTACGGTGCCTGTGAAAAGCACTAAAAACCCAAATGCTGGGGATGAAAAAATGAGACTGAAGACAAATTATGACCGACTGTTAATATCCCGGTCGGCCCGCCCAAGTATTCGTTGACCGCAGATCAACCTGCTGTGTGTGTGAATATCTGCTGATAACAATCAGTGGCTGATCAATCGGAGCGCCCATATTTGTTTCTACAGTAGCCAAGAAAACAACCAGCCTTTTCTTGTGCGTTTCATGGCCACTGTAGTTGCTCTTTCGCTCTTAGAAAGGGAGGGTGAAGCTGCTGGATGCCACAAAATCTTTAAACCACACAAACTTTCACTTTATCCTGACAGTCGGAGATGAGACAGATAATCTGTGACCTCCTGGTGCTCCTAATGGTATCTGCAAGAATCCACCGGTCCCGAACGAAAACAACCAATCAGAGCCGAGAAAGATAGATCTGATGGATAGTATTGTTGAGTCTCATTCCCAGGGTCCTGAATTTGACGCCCTGGGACACAAAAACCATCACACCTCCAACCCAAACCATCTTTATATCTTTCTTGGCTCTGATTGGTTGTTTTCACTCTTGCAAATACCATTAGGAGCACTAGAACAACCAGAGGAACTGGATTGTTTCACACATTATCCGTCTCATGTGCTACAGTCAGGATATAGGGAAAGTTTATAGTAAATATTCTTATAAAAATGCAGCTTTAATAAATAACAAAAGCAATGCTTTCATCGATTAAACTGGCTCATAACGAGAGACTTTCACTGTAATGGATACAAATAAACAATCAGCAGTTAAATGTGTCGCCTCCAACAACTTTCTGTCCAGTTTGGTGACGCACATTGATTTTATCTGCTAACGACAATGCTTCGTTAACTTCCGACCTTTCTGCTCTCGACTAATGGAGCGGTGACATTTTCTCCACTACAGGACACAGTCAGTGTGTTTGCACATGAGAGGAGGCCCGTTTATCACATTTCTCTCTGAGCTGCTGCGTTTCACATTAGTTATCATACGGGCACAGCTTGGCACAAACAGCACTGTGGTTGCATGTGTGTGTGTGTGTGTGTGTTATCGCGCTAAAGACACACTCACTCAGCTAGAAAAGGAGTCACATGCAAAGAGGAGGCAAGGCATGACAACTGAGCAGTGAGGTCACTTCCTGCAGAGAGGTGAAAAGAGGAAGAGGAGCAGGAGGAAGCACACTGTACATGCAGCTCTAACGTGCACACAGTGTTGAGTCAGTGTTAGCCACTAGCACAGGCGAGTTAGTCACTGTCAGAGCTGCTTACCTTTTCTTAGGTAAACGTTATCTGAGAAACAGAGAACAAACAAAAAGGAAACCAATAAAACAGGTAACCGTGGCACAGGTGTGAGCACTCAATAACACACACACCACACACACAC